GTGCTAGAAATAAAAATCAATTGAGTTGTGCAAAGTGTTCATGCGACGCATTTCTTTAGTTCAGATCAAGCGGTGGGGGAAAGTGAAGTGCGTCGGATCAGCTGCAAGCGCGTTTCGCAAGCGGCATGACTAGTGCTTCTCTCTGGACGAGGCCCATCGGCGACGGGGCGTTTGTCGCTTTTGCTCACCCACACCTCAAAGACAGCGACACCCCGACGACCATTATTTGTGGCCTTCCCTTCCCACTGTTTATCCTCGTCGATTGTGCTGGGCCGTGCCGCGCCCGTCGCATTATCTCTGCTCCCGTTTAGGTCGGATTGGATCGGCCTTGCCCTGGCACTGCCGCCGGTCCTGGCGTCTTGCGTCGCGGTCGTGGAACACTGGACACACTCGGGTGACCACGCTCGAAATGAGACGGACTTCTTGCACCGGAGGCAGGGAAACAAAGTGCAGCTAAACGTCCGCGCGACAACGTGTTACCAGTGACTTTTTAAAGGCCTGACCACCTTCAGAAAAAAATGTATGGCTGCTTAGAATCTGATACCACGCTGCAGAAAGTTAGGTAGAATCTGGAGATTGTGCCATATAGGTAAATTCAGAATATTTGAGTGGCCCAATCTTATAACAAACAAGCCATACTCACCAAGTGAAAGTAAAACCGTGACCCCAGTGAATAGGATTTTGAGATAATCAAGGTAAAGTAAATGGAAGTAAAAACAAATTTCACTTTATTTCAGACACATCATGTAATTTAACATTGAAATCAGTTCACAAATCTTGAAACTTTAAGCTTCTGAGAAGAAATCTATTACTTGACATAGAACATTAATTTCATGTAAACAAAATGTCACCAAAACCTCTAAATTCATAATATTTGCAATAAGGAAAACAGACAAGCTTGCAAATTAAAACAAAGATACAAATAATAAATATATCATGTTACAAAGTCTTAGCTCCACTTTCTGACCATTTACGAGGAACGGAAGAACACAAATCAAATTAAACATTTCTACTACATGATTTGTAATTTTATCTCTTATCATCTAACATTACCTGCACTGAAGTACAATTCAGGCCATACCATGCACTGTGATTTGAACAAGCTTAAGGCAATGCAACAACATTGCTAGTACATAAAGAAGTTTTATCTGTTCTTTGGTAGCAAATGTTGGAGATTCAGACTTCAATATGAATTAAAAAAAGAAAACATTACATTAAACCTTCACAGGAGATAAAGAACTTTCTGATACGGCAAATTCACTTCACTTATTAAAACTGAAATAGAAAATAATTCATAAAAAATTAGCCGCCCTCCCCCTTTTCCCCTCAAATTTTTATAAAAAGAGGCCCCAGAAAACCTATGAGCATGAGCTAAGAATTCATTCACTACATTCTATTGATATTTCTATAATACATAGACCAGTTCTTGAAAAATGAAGATAAAATAAAAAAATATGTCTTGCATACACGAGGAAAAGAAAAATTAATACATACTGCTATGGCTTCCACTGTGGCAAGCATTGAAACAATACAAGAACGTAAAGTTCTAACAACTCATTTGTACTGGAACACATACAACTAAGAAGATGGAATATATGTAAGTGGGTCACAGTTAAAATACAAGTACAGATTCAGCAAAATAATTTATGTCTACTGGCATTACTGCATATTTCCTGCCTGAAATACTCAATATCACATGGGTCATGTCATATACACAGACATGAGTTTAAAAAAATGATAGGTACAGTTGGTCTATAAGTAGAAAATGAAACAAATCATAAAATAACAAGTTTTTGAAAATAACTACAAAAAATTAAAATTAGAATTGAGGTCATACAGCCCACAAAAATCTTACAGTGTAGGCAATGGAGCAAGAGACATCAGATTTTTAAAACAAGACAACAATAAAAATACCAACAGAGATTGGGTTAATTTGTTCTCTATACCTTAAGGGCTTCTTGTAACTTTTTTCTGGCTGATATAACTCGATCTTCTTGGCGTTTGATGTCGTCATCTATCACTTGTACTGCCTGTTGATTTGATGAGAAAAATTACTTCAGTTAAAAAATTGAACAACATGTGTGAAGTATTAAATCCTTAATTTGAACTATGTCCCGTACCTGAACAAGTGGTTGTTCTGGATTTAGAAATACACCTGGGTTTCTATCTAGAGCAGAACGACTGCCAGTTTGACCAGTTACTGGCTGTGTTGAAACGTGCAGGGCTGTTGCTACTGATTGCAATAGGGTTTCATCTCCTACATGTGGTCCAACTGGGCGTAAACCTTTTGGCAACTCCATTGCATCCAGTTCAAGTCCATCAATATCACAAGCACGTAAACCTTCCAAACGCTTTTCCCAAAACAGCTGTAAGAATAGAGCAAGAAAGAGAAACTGATCAAACATGTTGTTCAGGAAAATAAGTAAAAACTAATAAGAAAATTAGATAAAGAACTGTACCTGTTTAGGTTTGTCTTGAGGTCCTTGTTTGAAATCAGTCTTAACTTTTCCCTCTTGAGATTTGTGGACAGTGACAGGTTGTTTAAAAATGGAGGCTGTTTGCCTTATTGGTGGTACCAAAGACGCATCTGTCCGTACTCCGCGGCTATCGACATAGAAATCAGAATATTACTCAACTTTGCCTAAAAATCCTTAGGAAACAATACTGGAAGATTTACAAATTCACTATTTACAATGATGGCTAAAAATCTATGTTAAAGGTGCATTGAAGTGGATTGTACACACAAGACAAAGATTAAGTTAATAGTAACTCCACACAAAAATTGTAAACAAGAAAATAAATTGAAGATTTACATTAGATATACAAATTTGGAGAATGAAGAAAGCAAATGTTGAAGTTGGGACATCACAAAATTGCAGGGTTTTTATTGTGGTATATCATGAAAATGACTTAATTGTAGTTTCCCCATGTGTCCACCTTTATCTTTACAAACTTCGTAAGGCAGTACCAAATAAAATAAAAAAAACATGTGCTAGAAATAAAAATCAATTGAGTTGTGCAAAATAGAAAGCAGGTACAAGGCAAGAGATATTATCCAGATTTTCAAAAGTATGAACAAGGAGAGCACTTTACAATTCAAAAACTTACTGTAACTATTCTTGATTCAAAATTATGAAAATTAGGGCATAAGAAACAAATTTTTAAGCTTGTTTCTACTTAGAAACAGAACACGTGCTGTTATTGAGATAAGCAAAGTTTTCACACTAAACGTTCTATTTCTACTGTGGATTAGAACTTAAGAGAGACAAAAGTTGTACGAACAGTTCAAAACAACAGTAATTGACATGTGAAGTTTAGATCAGAAATGATCTTGGTATCTTTTATTCATATTTGATCACACTTTTCGTATCTCTTTTGTTTGATGTTATATTTATTTCTTATTGTGTACCATAATTCTAGAAAAGTATACAGAAAACCATTAATGACATTCATGAACAAATAATAACATATATATTGCTAAAGAAAGCATTTTCTTTTTGTTATTCATGAAAAGCAGTGTAAAGCATACTGAAAACTTCGGCATAACAAAACTTAACAGATTTTATCCAATCTGCATGCATTGGATTATACTCCAAAGAGCTACCAGATTTTTTTTAAAAACTGAAAAACAAAAAAAATATTCAGAGGCTTATGGGTGCAAAAGGCGTAACATAAAAAAAACAACTGAATCTCATACTGGCACAAATAATCCCAATTAATTGAAACTTTCACCAACGTGAGATCATAGTAAATAGGTACCTGTAATCGAATTGAATCCCTCTTGGCCTCTGTTTGGTTTTTCTCAAGACGTTATTATTAATATTTCCAGTTCTAAAGTCAAATGAAGAGAGATCGACAGAGTCTCCCAAGTACCGTGCTAGTTGAGGTTTGCTGCGGAACCGGTGGCCTGAGGGACTGAAACCCAACGACAAATCTAGGGTTCAATACAAGGGCTACAAAAATTCCAATTCCTACACCTGTTCTCAGTTTAAGTATACAGCATCTAGTTAAAAATTTAATCTGAAAATTACATTGTGATCTTTTCTTGTTGGAGGGAAAATTACTGTGACAAGTCAGTAATAGCTGTCGGAAGCTAGGAAAAATTATTAGATAACAGAAATATGTTTACACACTAATAAATCAGCAAGATAATGCAAGGCACGCCTCATTTGTGTGAAGTATGACATGGATCATAATTTGAATTTTATTTATTCTCAGGTTGTCTTGGCTCATATTGATAAAAAGCGGTCATTCAACCTAATTTGCGGCATAACCTGTACATATCTAGTTGTATCCTTAGACGATTTGGTCAGAAAACAGTAAACCGTGGGGAGTATTTTAAGAAATAACTAGTAAGTGAGAAAATCTTATGCTACTGATTATCCTAGAGATAATTTTCACTCCTTCACTGAAAGAAACATATTATGTATGTACCTGTAATAGTATATATCCACTTTGCCCGCAGACAAGCCCGACTTTCGAACAATTTCTTCTCGCTGCCATCCTTTTGGTAAGGCTGTGCAGTCAAATTTTTTCTTTTCAACCGACATTATATTTTGCATTGTTGCACTTGAAGGAGAAAAAAGATTCACAGGTAAACAAAACTATGCATTTTGAGCACTTTAAGTAAACAACACTTTGCTTTTAGCTCAACACCTTGCAAAGGAAGCAAGCCGAGCCGCCGAGCCCCGAGCCAAAGCCAAATATCTAAATTTTTCATACACATAGAGTTTGTTCTCCTTTGGATGGAATATGTGCTGCCATCTGTGTCCACTCGCGGAACTCCGTTGCGGGAAGCGAAGGATGGACGCTGGGACTAGGAGCAGGGAGTATCGACAGACGGTAGACTTCAATTATGAAAGGAAACGGTAGCACATATAATTAGGGAAAAGCGCCTCACGTTCAAAATGTGAAGCAAGTGCTCTCATTTTACTTTTCAAAAAATACAGCAAAAAAAAAAAAAAACGAAAAAATTAAGATGAACTAGTTTCCATTATGAAATTCTTTCAGATTGACAGGTGAGACAGGGAAGAAAAATTTAAAAGCAAACCGAAAGATATTTTGGTGTTCTATTCTCCTTAGAATTGGTCCTGGCCGGTCCTGGCTCTGGGCTTAGCTCCGCTTAGCCCACAGAAAGGAGGTCCACAAGCGCGCCGCAATCCCTTCCTGCATCCGGGGTAATCGCCTTCCCCACCCCTTGAAACCCGGGGCGCGCGGGGCGTCGCTGCGAGGGGGAGGGTCTGGGCGCACTGCAGGCAGGGTAGGCAAGGCACGGGGAGGGGTGGGTTCAAGGGCTGAACGGGCCGAGCCGTACCGTGGCGCCGCCTCGCGGCCCGCGGATCCAAGCTCCACAGGCCAGGACCCCCGCAGGACCCACCCTCGGGCCGAGCTCACCCTTCTCCCTTCTCGTAGCTTCGACTGGTGACTGTAGTAAGTAAGGCTGGCCCATGCCATTGAGCCAGCCTTACACACGCTCCCCACGTCGCCCTGGGACAGAACCGGAATACGGCCGATGACGAATTCTGATTCGGATCGCAACAAACTATTGAACGATGTTGAAGAGGGGTTTTTCTCTTCCAGAGGAAAAGGAGGGGGGCATGAACAGACGAGCTAGATAATAGGAAGATTAACCTGCATCGCCACCACCACCACCACCACTCTCCGCGTCCCTGCTCCTCTCTCACACCCCACACCCCCAGCCAAATAACGTGTACTCCAACACGACGGACGGACGGAACGGAACACGAGGGGTGATTTATTGCGAGGATAGCGCCAACGCGGAGAGTGGCGGAAAGGAAAAGAGGGGGAGGGGGGAGAGGAGAAGGGTGGCGGTAAAAGAGGTCCTAAAAGCCACCCAGCTGCGTAAAGGAGCAGCTGCGGGGGATTCATCTTCGTCCGCTCTGGGCCGGCACCCTGTGAGTTAGTGGGGAAGGCCCGGCCCCACCCGGCGCGCGGCCTCCTCAGGACACTGTCCCGGTGACCTCTGACCCCGCGCGCCGGGGGGGCCGGAACAGGTCCCTTCCGCGCTGCGCCAAGCCACCACCCGCTCATCGCAACATTTCCCCCGGGCAGCAACTGCGCGCGCACTGAAGGATACGCTCCTCTCCCGGTAACTTGACTGGAATCCTCCGGGACTCCGGCGCGGCTCGGGGCCGCGTGGAGGAAGGGGAGGAGGAGGAGGAGGGGAGAACGGAAGCAAAGGGGGAAAGGAAAGTGGGGTAATTGGGGCCGGGGAGATAGAAGTTTGAAATCAGAGAAGAGATGGAAAGGAAGAGAGGGAGGGACAGGCAGGCAGGGTACAGCTTGGGGGTAGAGAGGCCACAACAGTGGGAATGGGTCTTGCAAGCCGAATCGTAAAAGCCGTGCGGTGCATGTGCCGCGGAGGGTTCAGGTGGAGCGTGGACGGCGCCCGCAGAACAGAACACGGAACAGGGAAGCGACCGAGAGGCTGCGTGCCGTGGCGGCCGTGGCGCCGCCTCTCCGCTGGGTTCCGCTGGGACCCGGGGTGGATCGATCGGCGCCCGCACCGCCCGGCCCCTCCCCTGCGTATCGCGCCTTCTCTTTCTCACTCTCTCGCACCCTTGCGAACCACCCTTTCTATCTCTCCCTCTCACACTCCCTCGCCCCGCACACCACCTCCCCGTCCTCCCCTCAGCTCTATCGCCGTCTCTCTCGCACCCACCCCCGCTCGCTCTCCTCTGTCGAGCTGCAATCGTCTCTCTCCCTCTCTCTTCCTGCTCGTGCTCTCCCGTCCCCCACCCTTCTCTCTCTCGCACGTCTGGGTCGCGGGAGGGCGTTGAACCTCCGAGCCCAGCCCCGCGTTGGGCGGGGGAGTTGACGCGGGGGGGCTCTGCTGGGGGGGCTGCGGCGCGGCGGGGCGTGGCGCGGCAGCTCCACCGCGGGGTCATCGACTCCGCCGTGCTCCGCTGCCGGTGCGGTCCGGGGCGTTCCGGGGCAGAGCCTGGCCTGGGGACGTTATCCTCCGAGCACGGTGGAGCAGGGCGGAGCAGGGCCCCCCTCCCGCCACACCCCGCCCGGGGTATCTGGGTCACGGCGCGCTCGGAGGGGCGGGGCGGGGCCGGCGGGGCCCGGGCGAGCAGGGCACCACCGCCATCGCACTGTGTGTTGCAGCCCCCTGCCGTGCGCCCTAGGGCTACCCGAGGGACAGGGGGGGGGGGGGGGGACTGCAGTGGTTGAAGGCACATCGACGTCCTCGTGAAAAAGGATACTACTCTTCCCATGCCCTTGATAGCCGACTAACGCGCTGTTGGGGGTGGGGAGGGGAGGACGGAGCTCGGCGTTGTAGGCCGCATCAGCCGCGCGCGGTTTCCAGGTCATGAGGCTTTGGAGCCTGGTTCCCTCTGCCGTCACCGGGGGGCCCAGAATAGAACGGAGAGACGGCCGCCACGCTCCGCCACGCTCCGCCACGCTCCGCCACGCCCTGCGACTACGCCCCGCCACTACGCTCAGAGTGGAGACCACTGTACACTCCGGCAGGGCAGAGCAGGCAGAGGTACTTGACCCAGCGCAGCGTGCAGCCGAGCGCAGAGCGGGTCAGCCCGGGGGGTAGGCAGCGGCGGTGCAGCCGTGCGGCCGGGTTGCATACCCACCAGGCGCTCCTCCCGAGCGGCCGCCCGGGACGCGGCGGCGGTCGCCGCCGCCCGAGCCGTCTTCGTCGTTCCTCCACACCACCCGATTTCTTTCGCAGGATCGCGCCGACCGGAGTCCACCTCTGACCTACAAGTAGGTTAAGAAGTGTATTTCGTAGACTGTCACAAAGGGAGGCCCGC